CTGTCTTTCAGCTCTATGACAGATTCCAGGTGAGAGCTATACTGAGCTGAGCTGTATGAGCCCTCTTTAGATTCTGATAAGTTTTCTCTACACATCAAAGACGCAGCTCCTTCAATGTCTCCCTCTCCACACTCTGCAGAACGCTACTGAATCCTATTGGTTGCCATGCTGCCTGGTAGTCTGGCTCCTTCCTAGGACTTTGTCCCTCCCTGGAGGCCTGGCACAACTGAGCTCCTCTTGCGTCGTCAGGCACTGTACCCCCACGTTCACAGTCCTTGGTGTTCCCTGAGACAGAGTGTCAATGATGAGGTCACTTCCTCCCCAGCTTCCAGTCATACCCATCTGGCTCCAGTCTAGTGCAGTGTCGTCCCCTAGCGTTAACCCACAGTGGAAACTCCGACAGGCTCCCATCGCTCTGGCCGGTGTTTGTTTTTCATCCTCGTTGTTTCAGTCGTGACAAAAGGACCAGAAGAACTGGACGCTTGCATTGAAGCCCGATCCCACTGAAACTGCTCCGAGTTCCTCATTCTTATCACTCGCTATTAAATCCTTCTGTTCACCACGTGGAACCAGCAAGCAGTCACTCGTCATCTGTTCCTATGTCTGGCATCGGGCAGCCCAAATCTCCCGTCTGCCCTTCAGGGAATATGAATCTCGGACGCTCCCATCACACCCTCGATCAGTGATCAGTGATTAAATGCTTGTGAATAACCCAACGGGCCTGTTGAACCAAAATCTCTCACTGGAGGGCTGCATCAGTGGTGGGGCTTCAGCCTCATCCTCGTGGTCAGGATACCCCACCTTGCGCTTATATCTCTGTCGCATTGATTACGATTTATAATAATGTGATCATGTTGATAATGTTGCTTTATTGGCCCTATACAATTTCTTGCATTAGGAATGTGTCTTTTCACAGACCCCAGCTTGCTCTCCATGAGACAGACACACAGACAGGGAGAGAAGCTGGGGGTCAGAGTGCAGGGTCAGGAGTCAGCCAATGTAAAGCGCCCCTGGAGCAGTTGGGGTTAAGGGCCTTGCTCAGGGACCCAACGGAGTCAGATTCCTCTGCTGGCTGCGGGATTTGAACCGGCAACCTTCCAGCCACAGGAACAGATCCTCAGCCACAGAGCCACCGCTCCGCCCCAGAAGAGTACTGACATTCCCTCACCGGGAATCGATCCCGGGCCGTGGCGGTGAGAGCGCCGAATCCTGACCACTAGACCACCAGGGACGCTACAGCTACACTTGACAGCACAGCTGAAAGATCACTCCCTGTAG